GGGGTTGAACTCAGGATCTTGCGCTTTCGAGGCAGGTGTGGCATCACTGAGTCAAATCTCCACCCCTTGGTCTATACTTTTTAAAACAAGAGGCATTGATAATTTGATTTTTAAAAAATTAATTTTCACTGAAAATGTGAATGATGTACATTGCAAAAAATTCTTTACACAGCAGAAAATAGTATATAATTAAAAGCAAAAACATCTCCTGATCTGGTATCAGACTTTTATCTAATTTGGTCTTGAGGTTGCTCTCTGAAGTGTGGGTATAAATTCTAGCCCTGACTCCAGGAGTGTTTATAGTGTAACTTTCAAGGAATACTCCTTTATTTAGACAGATGGGCTTATGCCTATGTCTCCAGCTCATGACCAGTTGTGTCTCTTGATTATATTGACAGGCACCCTTGTGGTTCCTGTTTGACTTGTGTCTTCTGTTTCCGTACCAACACAGCCACTGTCCAGGAGAGCCTTGACAGGAGAGTTTGTTTTGGTTGTGATGGTCAGGTGAAACACAGGCAGCCAACAAGACACGTGACACACAGATAAGGTGTATCACTCGAAGAGCCGTGAGAGACATTCACAGAAGGACTGGCAGGAAGTCCAAAGACAGCGGTGTGTTCAACCAGTGGTGAGGAGTGAGAGAGGGAGGCTTTGTATGACAATACCTTTAGTAAGGTCTGTGAGTGTTATCCTTCAGGCTCTCCCTCAGAGTTGTGGATTGGCTAGTTTAAAGAGAAGGAAACTTATTTACATGACTGGTGTTGACCATTAGGTTTTATCATGGCATATGTTCGGGTTTGGGTCACAGGATGAGGAATAAGCAAGCTGTGTCATAAGTAACCACATGTGGAGGGGACAATTTAACTAGGCCAAAGGTGATAGTGTACAACTGGGTTTCAAATAACTTACATTAGTTCTAAAAATAGATGCTGAGACAGTGATGTATTAAACAAACTTATGACACCTGGTATTGATTATGAAGCTGTACTTTGAAAATTTATCAAAATATAAATGTTTAATTTACAAACTTTCAGTATGTGTTATACTTCAATAAAAAGTTTTAAAAATAAGTTTCTTTCCTGCCACAGATCCCTAGATCTCTATTCTTTTTCTATATACGCATACACAGTTACCTGTTTGTTATATATAAATTACAGAAATAATTTCTTGTATACAAATACATGGGTATAAATATATCTACCCTTTTATTTATATAAATGAAACTGTATGGCCATGTGAGGTGGCCCACGCCTATAACTCCAGCACTCTGGAGGTCTGAGGCAGGAGGATTGCAAGCTGGAGCCAAGCCTGGGCTACTCAGTGAGACCCTGTCTCAAATAGAAAATAAAAAATATCTAGGGATATAGTTTAGTGCAAAGGCCCTAGGTTCAACCCCCAGTACCAAAGAAAACAAAAACAAACCACTACACACACACACACACACACACACACTAATAACATGTAGATAAAGCAGTCATAGAAACAACCCAGTAATTCACAGAAAAATAAAAAATAAAGTTCAGTGACCAGTGAAATACAAATTAAAAGAGCAATGAAATACAAATTTTCATTTACTGATTTTATAAAATTTAAAAAGATTGAGAACATTTGAGCAGGGCACGGGGAAGCAAGTATCCTGAAACATTGCTGTTCAGGCTGGACTTGAACTCATTACAGAACCTAGCCTAGCGTTAAATAGTGGCAATTCTCCTGCCTCGGCCTCCAAAGTGGCTACAGGCATGTACTACCATGCCCACTACAGCATTATTTACAAGAACAAACAAGTAGAAGGAAAGAAATCTTTATCATCTTTCGTCAGAGGAATAGTTAAAGTACATCTATGCTACAGAATATTGTTACTGTTAAGAAAAACAAGGCAAAAACTTCCCATTGAAGGGAAAATGAACTCATTCCAGGAAACCTCTAAATGAAAACAACAGAGAACCAAAAGTAAAGAGAAAACTTCGTCTTCTGTGAACAGATGAGGCCGTCAAAACCATGAACCACCAACTCCTAAGAGCTTCCAAAACACACTGAAATTTGGATAAAATCCAGAAAGGACACGGCAGGCGGACTTAGACAGCTGCTGACTTCAAGCAAACGCAAAAGCTCTCCAGATCTGGGCCACTTCGCCCAAGCTCCTCACCAATTTTTTTACCCGCAAGCCACCGGGGCATCGTACCCTGGTCCGGAAGGCTTCAGCAATAGAGCGCGAGTGTGTGTGTGTGTGTGTGTTGGTGACATTTTAACTTTTTCGAGAATATATTAGTGCATTGCTTGTGCTATTTTTTTTTTTTTAACAAGTTAAGAACGACAGAAGTAAACCAAAGTAGCAGATGCTGTGCTGAGGAATGTCAGCGGCCGTAGATTCGAATACTGCCTCTGCTCTACCTCAAACAATCTACCTCACTTTCATTATCTGTAAAAAGCTGACAATCTCCACCAGTCGCCTGGCTGCTTAAGAGAATCAAAGGAAAGAAATTTTCCGCTTTGGGGGCCCTAGCTCCGTGCCAGGTAGTAGCCATGTCCCAGTAGCGTACTGCCGCGCCGCGGCTACCGGGCATCACGGGACTTGTAGTCCACCCTGCCGAACTCGCGGTCCCAACAAGCATCGCGGTGGCGGCGGCAAGGCTACGTGGCTCGAGCGGCTGCGTCTGCGCGGGCAGGTGGGGCAAGATGGCTGCCGAGGAAGACTTGCGGGTTGTCTGTACGCGACCCGGAACAGGGCTGGGTAAAGCAATGCGGGCCCTTCTGCTGCTGTTGTGGTTTGCAGCCCGCGGGAGCGCGCTCTACTTCCACATTGGGGAGACAGAGAAAAAGTGCTTTATTGAAGAGATTCCGGACGAGACCATGGTCATAGGTGCGGGGGTGAATGAAGTGTTTGGGACAGGACCGTGGTTCTGGGGCGGTGGGTGCGGAACACTCAGGTCTCTGCAACTAAGAAGTTCTGGGCTTGCTGTGCCCTCCCTGGGGCAGATCCAGCGGCACCTCCCGCTGTGCTGACCTGATCTCTCCTCACTCGTTTCCAGGAAATTATAGGACGCAGCTGTATGACAAGCAGCGCGAGGAGTATCAGCCGGCCACCCCCGGCCTTGGCATGTTCGTGGAGGTGAAGGACCCAGAGGACAAGGTGAACCAGCCCCTTACCCTTGACGAGCCTTCCACCAAGCAGGCTCTGTTACTTCCTGTTTTAGTTTCTGCATCTGCTGAAGTGAAAAAGACAGCTAATGCTGTGGGAAGATTCTGGGTTTTCACTGCAGGCCAAACTTGGGCTGCTGGAATGCTAGCTACTCTTTCATTTTCCTACTGACTTCTCCATGACTCGGCCAAGTCATTTACTTTCCCTGAGCCATTTTCCTGGCTTATGAAATGGTAATTCACTTCTCTTAGGGGTGATGGATGGATTAATTGTGGGAATAGAAATCAGAGTGCTATTAGCTTTATTATTAGTGTCTAGCTTTAAAGCTGGACATCTAGATTATGATTTCACAGAACACTTTTCAGAAAGAATGAACAGCTTTTAATTTTGTAAAATAAGGATGTTAAAATGAAAAAACCCGTAGCTGTCACCTTCAGTCACCTTTCATTTTTTAAAAAAGGAATCATACTGAAAGAGTTGATATGAGCTATAAAGGAAAGCCCTTCCCAAGAGTAATTACTACCAGCCTGATGTCAGACTTCACTTCTGCCCCAAATAGTTCTCAGTAAGCATTTGGCAGCAGCTGCTGGGCAGCTTTAGATCTTTGAGTTGTGAGTTGCTTAAGGCTCTTTTTGTCAACTTTTTAGTGCTTAGAGCCTTTAGCACCATTTCCTTCCTGCCTCATCTCTGTAACACAAACCGATGCCCCTCTCCTTTCTCTAGGTCATCTTGGCCCGGCAGTATGGCTCTGAGGGCAGGTTTACTTTCACTTCTCATACCCCTGGTGAGCACCAGATCTGTCTTCACTCCAATTCCACCAAGTTCTCCCTCTTTGCTGGAGGCATGCTGGTAAGTGGACCGTGTGAAACTTGAAGCTTTCAGCTTCTATGGCCTGGTCAGGACTTTTTTTTTGTATGGGGCATTGAACTCAGGACCTTGTGCTTGTGAGGCAGGCTTGGTGCCACTAAGCTAAGTCCCCGGCCCCATAAGGACTTTTGGTGCTATGAATGTGAGATAAGTATGTTGGATTTTGTGTCTCCCAAGAATACTAGGTTTTCAGTGAATATCCAGGGCACATGGCTGAGCTCTTTGTATAGTCATCCCTCAGTCCCAGGAGACACACAGACACGCGCGCGTGCGCGCGCGCACACACACACACACACACACACACACACACACACACACCTTCCCTGTCCCAAATCTGTGGATGCTTAGATTCTTACATGAAATGGTATACTATTTTCATTCAACTTATGCATATCCTTTTGTGTACTTTCAAATCATTTCTAGATTACTTATAATCTCCAATGCAATGTAAATGTTGTGTAAATTGTTGGTATTTATTGTTTCAAGGATAATGACCAAAAGAATCTGTACATGCTCAGTACAGATAATTTTTTGTTTTTTTCTTTTTAAATTCTTTTGATCTGTAGATGTGGCACCCATAAAAACAAGGAATAGGTTGTGAATGCTTTGGTCAGAGCAACAGTCCAGGTTTATTTTTCGGGCTTGTGAATCAGAGTCCCATAGGGCTAGACACTGAGGAGGCCTTAGTCTACTGGCTAAATGAACAAATGAAGGAAAGTGGGGGGTCAGCTATCAATCTCTGGCAGGAGGATGGAGCAGGGCTGCCCAGTTCCTCATATCTTTCTTGTCTGTCCCCAGAGAGTTCATCTTGACATCCAGGTGGGTGAACATGCCAACGACTATGCAGAAATTGCTGCCAAAGACAAGCTGAGTGAGTTGCAGCTACGAGTGCGACAGCTAGTGGAACAAGTGGAGCAGATCCAGAAAGAGCAGAACTACCAGAGGGTGAGTACTTGGATCAGGAGTGGTGGGCTTCTCTGTAAGTGGTTCCCTAACTCAACCAGGTATTGTGTGGCAGATTCATTATGAGACACCCAAGGCACTTACCATTTGCACACTGCAGATCTAGAGGTGGGAGTGGGTATTATTAAATCCATGTTGTAACTGACACAGACTCATTAAATCACAATTACACAGAGAATGGCAGCATAGGAGTTAGTATGAACACCTTGGGTGTTGTTTGGCTCCAGATGCTCCCAGGACCCAAAGTCTCAACTCATTTGTGGTCAGGAATGAGACAAGTATTGTGAATGAACTTGTAACTATATGGAATATGTAGTAGGGGAGTAACCCATCTAAGTAGGATCAGCCATTGTTCAGTATTAGCAGGGAACTTCCTTGCAGAAATGCCAGTCCTAGGTTTTCAGATCTTCCTTTTTTTCAAGAGGAGCTAGAGGCCTAGGTTTTTAATGTGAAATTTTCTTGAGTTTTAAATGTTTGCAAGACACCATGTGTGGCCAAACAAAAGACATAAGGCAGAACCAGTTCCCAGGCCACCAGTTTGCAACCTGTGCGCATGACCTTCAAAGAGCAATTTGAGAGACCTGGACGGAGGGCTTGGAGCAAGTGTAATACTGAGCACTCCAGGATAGCGCTGTCATATGGGGTGAGACCACCACTACCTTACCTCTCCTTCAGGCTCCAGGGCAGGTATACCTGACAGATGAGGAAACTGACTTAGGAGAAATGATTAGATTGCCTGAAGTGATCTGGCTGTTGAGGGTGAGTACAGTTCCCAGGTAGTGATTCTTTGCAGGCAGTTGGCTTGAACCTTGGCAGAGTTCCCGAGGGCATCCTCACAGGCTAGGAACCCAGCAATTCTAGCAGCCTCAGCCAACTCAGACTTACCTTTTGTTCTTCCCCACAGTGGCGAGAGGAGCGCTTCCGGCAGACCAGTGAGAGTACCAACCAGCGGGTGTTATGGTGGTCCATCCTGCAGACCCTCATCCTTGTGGCCATAGGTGTCTGGCAGATGAGGCATCTCAAGAGCTTCTTTGAAGCCAAGAAGCTGGTGTAGCCTGCCCAGTGCCATGTGCCATCTTGCCCCCCAGGCTGAGGGACAAAGAACCTCCTGGAACTGATTCTTCTCTGGCAGGAGGACTGATTCTCAGTCCACCAGTAGATGTTCTGGAGGGGAGAAGGACTGTAAGCATCCCCAGGCACAAGCTGAGAGCAGCAGCTTGGCTGGCTAATACTGAGCAGGTGATGGGACAAAGTACCTGTCCCCTCCCCCTGGCCTCTGGACTTTTTGCAGTAATCATCCAGGGGCTGGTGAAGCCCCCGAGACCCCTCTTGGCACCTTAGGATCACAGTGTTACTGATCAGGGATTCGAGGCTGCTGTCTGGGATGGATGGGGGGAGGGAAGGGAGTGGGTGGGCAAGCCGATTTTCCTTCTGTCTTCGCTAATTTGGGATTTTGAGCAGGTTGGAGTGTGGCTGTGACTTTTTGAAACCCCAGGAAACTGGCTGTTCTCTCCTTTGGCCTAAACCCAGTGTGCTCATTTAGGGTGTGTATGTCAATGAAGGGTAGTGTGGATGGGGTTTGCAGTGTGGGGAAGTGGCCTGGAGATTGACCCTGGCTTCTTCACATGGTTGTCCTTTCTGGGGCTTGAGGAACTGGTGTGAGGGCAAGGCAAAGCCTTGGTGCTGGTTGGGGATGAACTACAGAGTCTTAGTTACTGACTTCATTTTCAGTGAATCTAGGTTTGTTACATTGGTTTCCCAATTAAAAAGAATATTGACTTCTTGGCTAGTGTAATGTTAATCTCAGTAGGCATGACACTCAAGGGAATGTCAGCTCTTCCACTGGGCAAAGCTCTTTATATTCCAAAGTGAAACATCACCCCCACCCCGCCATGAAATTCATTCTTTCTGTCCTCTCCTTGTCCTCCTGTGTGGCAGGGGTAGTGGGCTTATCCAAGACCATCCAGCAAGCAAACAATGGGATTGGGGTTCAACTCCATCATTTTCTCTATACCAACTCCCTTGTGACATGCCTTCCCTTTCCCGAATAGGTAAGCAGAATTGTGAGTGGTGCAAGAAAATGCCTAGTAACTAGACATGGTGATGTACACCTGTAATTCCGGCACTGGGAGCCTGGACAACTTAGCGACTTAGTGAGACTCTGGGGATGTAGCTCAGTGTGAAAGTCCTAGGTTGAACCCTCAGTACCACACACACCAAAAAAGTGCCTTCATGCCTGATAAGGGAATGTAATGAGTGGGTGGGAATACTATTGGTGTGGAAAGGAGAGTCCTTGGGGTCTGATTAGGGCTAGGACTATAGGGACCACAAAGGAGGAAAGGTGTTTTTGGGGGTTTTTTCCAGTACTGGGGAAAGTACCAGGGTCTCAAGCATGCTAAGTGTATGTTCTACCACAGCTGTATCCCCAGCTCCAAGAAGGATTCTGAGGAAAGGAGATGGTAGGACAGAAGTGGTTAGAAAAAGCAGAGGGAAATAGATGGTAGGGAGATCGATGAACATTCTGAGTCAGTTGGAGAGGATGGTTTGAAGAAGCTGGAAAGGAAGATTTGGTTAAAGTTAGAAGAGCCTGTGGTGGGTATGTTGGTGTACACCTATAATCCCAGCACTTGGGAGGCTGAGGCAGGAGGATCACTGAGTTGAAGGCCAGCCTGTATATAGTGAGTGAGACCCTGTCTCAAAAAAACTAAAATCTGAATAAATAAGTAAAAGAAGACCCTTGAGCACCCAGTAGAAGAGTTGGACATTACCCACCTGTCACCTGTCAGTTCTGAGTATAAACCACATGAAGATAAATTTGAGGAAGGTGAGTCCCGCAGTGTGCAAGAAAGACTGGGAACAAGGACACAAATTTGGGGCTATTTGACCAGCTGGGTTGTAATTATGTAGCCACCTAGGCCTCCAGTTTTAAAAATTAGTTTTTGTTTTTGTTTTTTGCTACTGGGGATAGAACTCAGGACCTTGCACTTGTGAGGTAGGTGTGGCGCCACTGAGCTAAGTCCCTGGCTTTTAAAAAGTAAGTTTTTAAAGAATAGCTTCAGAATTAAAAGTTGTGAACATAGTTTTCCCTGTTAATGTGTTAGAATAGTACATTTGTGAAGATAATGTATGGTTACACCATTATTTTCGGTGCTGGGCATGCTAGGCAAGCATTCTACCATTGAGCTCTACTCCAGTTCATCATACCTTGTTTTTAACTAAAGTCCATACTTCCTGCAGATTTCCTTAGTTTTTTTTTATCTAATGTCCTTTTTATGTTCCAGGATTCCATATCACATTTAGTTATGGGTCTCTTTAGGCTCTGGTTGGCTGTGATTGTTTCTTAGACTTTGTTTTTTGATGTTTCCTTGAAAATGTTCAGTAGTGGTGAGGTGTTTTGTAGAACTTCGCCCATTAGGGATTTATCCAATGTGTTGCATGTTTAAATACAGGTTTTTGAAAGAGCACAAAGGTAATAAAAAAAAAAAGAACACAAAGGTGACATGCCATTCTTGTCCCTGGCCAGGGATTTAGCTCAGTGGTTCCAGCGCCTGCCATTCTTGTCCCATAAGATTATTAAGGGTACTTACAATCAACTTATCTTACAAATGAATGCCACATTTTAAAATTAGTTTATTTGTATTTCCATGTGAAATTTAGTTTCTTGAGATGGTAAGATCTGACAGTGGGACTTAATTCTGATGTGGCCACTAGCTGAGTGGCTCTTTAGGTGGGCAGGGGTTCTCCAGATAACACAGGTCCCACAGTCCTGCTTCCTTCAAGAGACTTCTGTGACCTCTGCAGATCAGCCTTTCCTTTACCATCAGCCAAGCAGGCCAGACTTGCCAAGGTTCTGGGGTGGGGTGCAGTGCCCTGGGATAGCCACAAAGTGGGGAAGGGATGGGTTAAGGTTTGGAGTTTTAAGGGGAAAGGGTTCTGAGAATGATTAACTTCCTACCGAAGAGAAGACCTCTGTAAAGCAGAGTGATTAAGATAATTATCCAGGGTGGGAGATGGATGGGGATAGATTGTGCAACCAAGCTAGTTGATTTGCCTCTTCCACAGTTACCTCATGTTTTAAAGGGGGGATAGTAAATACTACTCATAAGGACAGAATAAGATAGTAATTAAGAATTTAGAATGATTGGCATATAGTTAAGAATTAGTTAGATATTAGCTATTTTATTTTTTTTTGTACCGGGAATCGAACTCGGGTCCTTGTGCTTTCGAGGCAGGCACTGGAACCACTGAGCTAAATCCCTGGCCCTTATGGAACTTTTTTTTTTTTTGGTACCGGGGAATCGAACTCGGGACCTTGTGCTTGCTAGGCAGGTGGCAGAACCACTGAGCTAAAAGATATTAGCTATTTAATAGGAAACTTAGTTTGCCTGGAAGAGCAGAGGAAACCAAATCATAAGAACTTTGCTGCTCTAAACTGGGTGTGGAGGTACGTGCCTGTAATCCCATCACTCTGGGAGCCTGAGGCAGGAAGATCCCAAATTGCAACCCAGCCAGGCCAATTTATGATAGTGATTTAGCAAGAACTTGCCTCAAAATGGAAAATAAAGGCTGGGGATATACCTCAGTGAGAAGGTCCTGGGTTCAACCCCTGTACCTTAAAACAAGAAAGTCTGCTGCTCTCTTTTCCCAGGTAGGGGGGTTGGGGGTATGGGACAGCAAAATTCTCACCGTGACAGAGCAGATGGGGAACTCAGTTTCCTATTTCTGCCTTCTCACCTCAACTCTACCAAAGTACCCATTTCCTGGATGGTAACGATCATTTATATAGCATCGGCTGTGTGCCCAGCACTGTACCCAGCACTGCCTTTTTTCCTTTAATTCTCACAACGACCCTACAGAATAGGAACCATTTACATACCTATGTGAGGAGAGTTACAGAGATTATGGGTTGCTCCCAGTTGGATTGGCAGAGCGAGGTTTCAAACCCAATCTGTCTTCAGAACCTGGCTCCTAAACTACTACCTGGGGACTCAGCAGAACCCGACCCTGAGTCCTAAGCTGGACTTTGCGCCTCCAAGCTTCTGTTGGGGAAGGAAGAATGCACCATCTGCGCTGAGCAGGATGCCGCTGCGCACTCTGCCTTTCTCTGGAAGAGGAGGAATCCAGAGCGCTGGTTTTGGAAGTCTGAAGTCTGAGCCCAGGCCGGTCTAGGTGACTTGTTGGGTGGCCTTTGGCCTTCTGTTTCTCGGGATGTCAGATGGGTCCCAGGAACAGGTAGAAATCAGCGGAACGGTGGAAGCGCCCTCTTGTTTCTCTGCAAGCAGAACCTTGGAGGAGGCGGCTCCTGGGAGCAGACGGCCCGGCCGGAGCGACGGACCTGGAGGACCGAGGGGGCGGGGCGGACGGGTCTGGGCGGGGCGGGAGGCGGAGGCGCCGCGTAGGCCGGGAGGCCCGGCGGGCCGGGCTGGGAGCTCGAGCCCTATGCGCCACCGCCTCCCCCCACGATGTTCCCCTCCCGGAGGTAAGCGGCGCAGCTGCCCTGGGAGGACGGCAGGTGAGCGGCGGCGGCCGGCGCGGACCCTGTCCTCCCGGTGCCGCTCCTTCCCGGGCCGCCCTGCGGCCGTGGCGTCTCTCTGCGGGTCTGTCAGTCTGGCTCTCCCTGTGGGTCACTGGCGCTATTCTTTCCCTGGCTCTCTTCTGTGTCTTCTTTGGTGTGTGTGTGTGTGGTTTTCTCCACTGGCTTGTCTGTCTCCCTGTGGGTCTCCGACTTGGCCTCTTGTAGTGGTTATCTGTCTTTTTGTCTTCCCCTGGTTTCTGAAGGTCTTCATGGGTTTCGCTGATGCTATCTTCCCCCTCACATCACGTGGCTCCAAACCCAGCCCTCTGTCCTTCTTGCTTCTCAGTAAGTTACTGCTGGCCCAGAAGGACACACCAGACAGAAGCTTAGTATGCTCTCCTGGTTGGCCACTGCTTGGCTTGTACTACACACTTCTCACAGACCCATATTAGTTCATTTCCTGTGCAGTTGTATTTGCATGGGCCCTGCTCCATGTGTTAGGTGTGAGCTTGGCCCAACTTTAGCTAACGACATTTCCTATTAAAGCAGAATGGATGAAGCGATTTGGCTGCCTAAATTTGGGGAGGGGCATCCATACGTAGGCTTGAGATGTACCCCCAAATGCTTCTTACCTAGTACACATGATAGTCAGTCTTCACCCAGTGAGTGACATCTCATTCCCTTTATGTCTCTTAAGTTTGTTAGGTGCCATAAGATTCTGGAATTTATTAGGCACAGCTCTTGCAACTTTGGGGGTTCTTCAGACTTGATGTTGAAATAAGAAGACAGGAATATAACAGAAGTCATAGTCTATCAAATCAGGTATGGGCAAGAATCTTAGTTAATAGCCCGATGACCAGAAACAGATAACTTACTCTCTGACTTCAGCCTCACATTTTTGAGATGGGGATCTTAATATCTGCAGGGCTGTATGAGAATGAAAGGAGATTGTATATGTAAGACCTTGGCACTGTGCCTGTCACAGAGAAGGTAATAGTCATCTTCCAGTTACTTTTGAAATGCTAGACAGAGGAATTGAATATTCAAACCTTTTACCACTAATGTTTAAGAGAAGAAAGAAATGGGAATGGAGGAGCATTTCTGTTTCCTGATCCTCATACATAACTGTTCCCATAAAATTTCACTGATGTCCATTTTGTGCTTTTGACATAGGAATACAAAGATCCATGCAACAAATGCAGGCTAGTGTAATAATTAAGCACTGGTTCTGGAGCCAACCTGCCTGGATTTGAATCTACCTCTTACTAGCTTTGTGCAGTGATTAATGAAGGAGACAAAACCTCATCTGGATTGATTGTCCCTCAGAGCTGGGGTGATCTGGCCCTGGGAACAGCTGGGACTTCAGTTCTGGAGCTGGGCACCAAGTGGCACCAGGAGCAGCTGTTCTCAGGGCCCACTGTCTAGGAGAATTGGGGCTCTGGGCTAAATCCAGTTGCTTTGGAATTTGGGCTTTTAAGAGCACAAGATGAGAATGCCAATGGGGTCAGGAGCCTTGTCACAAAGGGCAATCTGGATTGAAAAAAAACAGCATGGGAAAGTGCATGGAAGGCCCAATCCATGGCATACTGCTGAATAATGGTCAATGCTGCTTCTCCCAAAGGGGGAAGCTTGCCCCATGTCCATTTTCAGTCTCCACCTTGCTCCCAGAAAGAGCCCAGAGGGAGAGAGAGACTCTGTAGAGGTTCCAGTCTGCCCAGGTCACATGCAGGACTGGGCTCTGCTCTTCCCCAGTGGAAACCACTACCGCAGGACCATGGGGGGTAAGTCAGAACCCGTGTGAGGGTGTCCTGCCGGACCACCTCTCAGCTTCGTGTGGCATCTTGACCTGGCTTCAGTGCTGCTGGCTTCCAGGTTGGCACTTGTGTCTCTAGAGAAAGGTAGGCAGTGGTCTGGCTCTAGTGTGTGACTTAAAGCATGCCTGGACTGCTTAACCCCTTAACTCACTTAGAAAGCCCTTTGCTGTCTGGCCTGTGCTGGGACCACAGAGAGGAATCTGACATGGTCTAACAGGCAGGATCATGGGACATCACAAGTGCTTTAAAGAGGGAAGCACCAGATACCATGGGAACTCAAAGGAAGCAACCTCATAAAGAGATGGTAGTGGGCAGTGCTGGCCATAACATTGAAATTTGGTTCAGCAGGGGACTTCCAGGTAGGTACAGTAAAGCAGAGCGTGTCAGGTAGAAGGAGCAGCCTGTGTGAAGGAGGGATGGAGCAGGAAGGAATGTGGTGAGTGCAGAGGCCCCGAGTTATTCCATAAGACTGAATGATTGGGAGCAACTAGAGATCAGATTGAACCATAGAAGGGTTTAACTGTCAGGCTAAGGAGTTTGGCTTTTATCTTGTAAACAGGCTAAGATTAAAGGAGTCTGAGCAGGGAAGAACAAGATGAGTAAAGAAGATCACAAAGGAACTTTGGAGGTAGAGTCTACCAGACTTGGTAGCTAGCTCCTGATCCTTAGAGATTGTAAACTGAACTTTGTAGATTACTGGGGCAGGGGGAGGTGATTATAGAGGAAGTTTCCTTCCAATTGCTGAGTTTCTGTCTGCATCCTCTGGAAGTTCCAGAGGTAGGACAAAGGAATCAGGTGAATTCCACCTGTTTCTTGTACTTCCTAATCTAAAGGGCAGTCTCCAGTGTCACCCCATTGTCTAAGATATTCACCATTTGTCCAGTTTCTGAAATGAGCCTGGGTGCTGCACCAGCCCTTGTCTTTCTTTCCCTCATCTGTCTTTCTTGTCTCATGGGCTACCTCTGGGACTGAAATTTTGAAACTTGTCCTATGCACTGCCACTGTGCATTTTGTTCTTGAATTGCTTCGGGGGCAGGTCAGATCTTCCCAGAGTAAATATTGGTCGTTTGACATAGGACTCATGCCAGCACACATCCCTATCTTGGGGGGCCTTCTGGTCAGCCTGAGAAGCAGGGCAAAGTCAAGGTTTCTGCCTCCATGAATCTGCAGGGGAGCGGGTTTGGAAGTCAGTGGATTGTGTCTTTTCAAGGTAAGGCTCTTGCCAATAGCTCAGGACCCTGAGGCACTACCCTGGGGAGGGACAAGTATAAGAGCCTTGACCCTGCCCTCAAGCAGCTCATGGTCAGATGAGGATTCACTTACAGAAAATAAGAGAGTATCAAGGAACTCTGGCAGCTTGCAAGCTGGTAGTACTCAAAGAGTGTCCCAGAGGTGGGTTGGCATGAACTGGGCTTAGAGAAGTAAGTGGGATTCTGATTACAGCAGTAGCATGAGCAAAAACATTAAAATTTGCTTTTGCACTAATTTCCAGGTGCTTGGTGTACACCAGTCATGTATGCCCTATGCATGGGGAGGCCAGAAAAGGGGTCTGTCAGAGGTCAGAGAGTTTCAGGTTGGCCTTGCCTTCTGACTCAGCCCTGCTCTTATTCCAGGTCCAGGTGGCTCCTTGGTGGCCTCCCCCGGAAATGCTCCGTCTTCCACCTCTTCATTGCCTGTCTCTTATTGGGCTTCTTCTCCCTACTCTGGCTGCAGCTCAGCTGCTCTGGTGATGTGGCCAAGGCAGCCAGGGGACAAGGGCAGGAGACCCCAGGTCCACTCCAGGCCTGCCCCCCAGAGCTGCCCCCTGAGCACTGGGAAGAAGATGCATCCTGGGGCCCCCATCGCCTGGCAGTGTTGGTGCCATTCCGTGAACGCTTTGAGGAGCTTCTGGTCTTTGTGCCCCACATGCACCACTTTCTGAGCAGGAAGAAGATCCAGCACCACATCTATGTGCTCAACCAGGTGGATCATTTCCGGTAGGGATCACCCATTCCTCCACTCCTGACTCAGCATCCCCCACCTTGCTCAGGCTGCTCAGAACCTGTTTCCAATGCTGAGTGGACTCAGGCCTGTGAGAAGCCACAGGGGTAGGAGCCTGGGGGTGTAGGTGGTAGAGGCCTCTCACTGGATGTGGTGGGAATCTTTGGGGAGGGCCCAGATCTAACTTCCATTTTAGAAAGGTTACTCTGGCTGCTGTATGTGGAGTAAACCAGGAGAAGAGAAGCAGGGACACTGGCTAGGTGGTCACTGCAGTCATCAGAGATGATGTTGGCTCACCCAGTGTGGTAGAGAGGATAAGAATTATGTAGAGTAAGTATAGACAGGACTTGTTAGTGATGAAGGGGGATTAGGAAAAGGAAGGGTTTCCCACAGTAGTGTTATCCTAAAATCTTTACCCTTATCTCAAACTGCTCCCCTCAATTACCACCATCCAAGCATCTCACACTCCAAACGCTACTTCCTTTCTGTCCAACTTATTCCTACTGGAAGATGGACTCCAAGGATTCCTGCACCCCACCAGTCCACAAGTCTATGGATCCTCCCCTCGTTTCACTGCCAGCTCTCCTCCCTCCTTTCTCTTTCCAAATTCAGAGTCCACTGGTCCATCATTAAAAAGCCCTCTGTCACATCCATCCTTAACCTCCTATCCCCTAAACCACAATATGTGCAGCCACCTCATTCATCTCTGATGATGAGCCCTGACCCAGGAGGACAGTCCCCAGTCCTGCTGGAAGCCTCTGTGCCTCTAGTCAATCCCTGCCAGTCTGCTACACCACCTCTCGGCATTCCTGGCTTATCCTCACTCCCACCCGATGACTTTGCTTCTCATCTAAGAAAATGAAACCAATTGGAAGAGAACTTTCCTTAGTCCCCACCACCTCCTTCAACTCCTAGCTTCCTTCCTGTTACTAGGAATGACTGTCCCAGTCTCTCAGGGGCCGACTCTCCCACTGTGATGCTGGACCCCTCTCCCTCCTTCCCACTTGAGGGCAGCACTCCAGCATCTGCCCTGCTTCGGTCCTGCATCACTGGTGTTTCCTCTGTTCTGGAGCATTCACATCTGCACACACACATACGAAGATAGCTCTCCTCTAAAAAAGAAAAGAGGGAAATAAACACTTTCTCTATTCTGTATCCCCCAAAACTGTCACCCCACTTCTCTTCTTTGCAGCAGAACTCCTTCCCGTGTTTTCTCTTGAAATCATTCTACTCAGACATTGACCTCCATTATGGGACCGAAACAGCCCGCATTGAGATCACCAATGAGCTCCAGTTCCTTAATCTTAAGTCTTCATCCTGTCAATCTGAGAACATCTGCTAAACAGATTACTTTTTTTTTTTTGGTACCGGGGATTGAACTCAGGACCTTGCGCTTGCAAGGCAGGCAGCAGCACCACTGAGCTAAATCCCTGGCCCTAAACAGATTCTGAGGCCTTCACCTAACTCCCGGGACAGCACTCTGATTCTTCATCCTTGCTGGCCAGTCCTGCTCACCTCCTTTGTTTCCTTGCTGGCCAGTCCTGCTCACCTCCTTTGTTGATTCTCCCTCATCCCTGTCATCATCTCTGTTCCTTGGGGCTTCTTAGGCACCTCCTCGCTTTGAGCTGCAGTCTTTCCCTGGAAATTTCAGCCAGTCTCACAGCATTAAATTCCTGCTGACTTTTTTTTTTTTTTTTTTTTTGGTACCGAGGAACAAACTTGGAACCTTTTGCTTTCGAGGCAGGTGGCGGAACCACTGAGGTAAATCCCTGGCTCCTGGTGACTCTTGAGTCTGTATTTCCAGCCCAGATTCTAGACCTTATTCTAAATTCCAGACTTGCACATCTAGTTGCCTCTGTGAGCCCTCTATGTGGTAGTTTTAGAGGTAGTTTGAGCTTTAAATGACCACAGGTGAATTTTGTTTTGTTTTGTTTTTTTAAGATGAGTCTTGATATGTAGTTCAGGTTAACCTTGAACTCACTATGTAGGTCACGCTGGCCTCAAACTCACGGTGATCGTCCTGTCTCAGCCTCCTGAATGTGACTATACCCGAATTCCTAAATGCCCACCCACACCTGCTTCCCCTGCCATCTTCCCCATTTCAGGAAATGGGAACTCCATGCTTCTAGCTGCTCAAAGTCAAAAATGCTGTGGAGTCATCCTCATTTGCTCTTATTCTGTCATAGCACCCAGTTCATCGGCAAAATCTAGAATCTACCCACTTCTTGCCAGGCCACCATCACCTCTTGCCACTCAATTAGTCTCCCCCCTTCCACTCCTGCCCCTACAACCCTTCTCAACATGTCAACTAGTAAACCTGCTAAAATATAAGCACCTTACACCTCTGCTCCCCTAGCAGCTCCTCACCCCATCCAACCTCAGTGCCCCAGTCCTTCAGTGCAGTCAGTCCTGTCAGCCCCTGGCCTCTCCACACTGGCCCCCTTCACTCTTCCTCCCTGCATTGCTGTGTCATCTTGCCTCAGGCTTTGGCAGTTGCCTTCTCCTCTGCTTGGAGCCATGTACCCTCAGCTTCCATATAGCTCAGCTTGTTCCCTCAGGCCTTTGGATTTCTACTCAAATGCTGCCCTGACACCCTGGCCCTGTCAAAGGCGACAGCTCCTCCTCCCCCCAGCAAGTTTTACTCTTCATTTGCTTGACTTTTCCCCACCGCCCTCATAACTGTCTGGCTTGTTACTTCTTCTCATTTTCTCCTTCATTTACTCCTGTAGAGCTGGGCTTTTTTCTCTCCCTGATGTGTCTCCCAGTGCAATTGTGAACAGTTTCTAGCGTTTAATAGGTGCTCAGTAAACACTTGTGCAGTGAGTGGAGGGCATAGCCCCATGCAGCAAAGTCAGTGCTGGGCTAGGGGGAGCAGAAGCCCCAGGAGCACGGTATCTGTGGAGAAGAGGCTCTCATGCAGAGCTAGGGTACAGCCAGGCAGTGAGCAAGCTCTTTGGCCCCTGCCTTACCCTAATCACCCTGCACAGGTTCAACCGGGCAGCACTCATCAATGTGGGCTTCCTGGAGAGCAGCAACAGCACAGACTACATTGCCATGCACGATGTGGACCTGCTCCCTCTCAATGAGGAGCTGGACTATGGCTTCCCTGAGGCTGGGCCCTTCCATGTGGCCTCCCCAGAGCTCCACCCGCTCTACCACTACAAGACCTACGTGGGCGGCATCCTCCTTCTCTCCAAACAGCACTACCAGATGGTGAGGCCCAGCCCAACCTGTTCTGTGCAGAGATAGGGAGCCCCCACCCCCGTCCTATCTTGCTCTGAGTGGGCACACTTGGCAGGATGGAGCAGCCCTCCTCAGGCCCAGCAGATGAAGTCCTGCCTGGACCCAGCAGGGGACCCATTGGCAGCCAGAGACATGAGAGAGGAAGAGGAATGAGCAAGTCAGGGAGGGCTCTGCTAATAGCATCACAAACCTCCATGCCAGTTGGCTGAAGAAAACTGGAGATGTGCTGGTCCTCAGAATTGAAAAGTGAGGTGGGGAGAGTGGCTTCAGGTGCACCTTGCCTGCCTCAGCTAGTGTCACTAGAATGCCATTTCTCTCCCTTTCCTGTGTTAGGCAGGAACCTATTATTTTCAGATGTGTAATCTGTAAGGTTGTTGTAGCTGCAGCCTGTATCCTTCTAGGCTTTGGTCTGGTGGGAGATGGAGCCTCTCCTTCCCCAACACCCCAGACAGGAGTCCCTGAACTGAACTGAAGTGGCTCTTGATTGGTCTGTCCCTGACTGGGAGAAGAACTGAGTGGCTTAGCTCTGAGCTGCTGTTCTCTTCAAGTCATGGCTGAAACCTGCTTTATGTAAATGAATCCTCAGAGCTGAGATTAAAAATAGGTGTTGTCATAGAGCCCAACTGTCGCTCTCATACACACAGGAGGACACAGTGGCAGAACTACTTTAGGAGAAATGAGAATATGAGGGGAAGACAGAAATCAGTAGCAGTTGACTCCTGCCCACCAGCCATCCTCCAGAGAGATCCTCTCTGGCCAGTCAGACATTTTTGTGACACTATAATCATCTCATACAAGCTCGGGGCGCATTAGAATAGGGAGAAGAACTGGGATGGGCTGATCCCTGCTTCCCACCCCCAATACCACAGAAGTGGAGGGAACTGTAAGGACCTGGTGTCCACTCCAAACAGCCAGGAGAGGAAGGAGGAAGGGGAGCCTGTCAGGCTTGGGCTGGATTCTCCTAAGCTTTAGGTTACCAGAATGTACTCTCGGGAGGAGGGGCCGGTGATAGACGCTGCCTGTCTCTGTGTCAGTGCAACGGGATGTCTAACCGCTTCTGGGGCTGGGGCCGTGAGGATGATGAATTCTACCGGCGCATCAAAGGAGCTGGCCTCCAGGTAAGGTTCCCCCTGGCTCTGGGTCCTGCCACCTCCTCAGTCATTGTAGCTGTCCTGAAGTTGCCTTCTCTTTCTGTGAGAAGTTCCTGAGGTTTGGAGATGCCTCCGACCCCTGGTTCCAGGCCCTGCCCTGAACCTGACTTGCAGTGGTTGTCTAGCTAGTCCTTTGCCCTCTTCTGCGGGATGAGAATATAAGCCCCTACCTGTGGTCTCCTGGCAGGCAGTGGGACGCCAGAGAAGCCAGTGTGAGAGCCAAGGCTCCAGGAGGATTGGCCTGACCCCTACTTTCCTTATTCTCCCTTAGCTTTTCCGCCCCTCAGGAATCACAACTGGCTATAAGACATTTCGCCACCTGCATGACCCAGCCTGGCGGAAGAGAGATCAGAAGCGTATTGCAGCTCAAAAACAGGTACTGGCTCGTCTCCTTATTGGTAGGTGGTGGTATGGGGAACCAACAGGGCTGAGCATTTCACCAAGTTCTTCTTAGACCCACATAGTCCCACCGACCTGTGCTTGCCCAAGTCAGTCAGTGGGCATTCTGCTTGGGCACTGTGCTCTGCTCTCTTGGTTGCCCAGGCTGTGTGGGCACTGTGAGTCAGCCCACACCTCAGGGTCTGGGCAGGCTGGAGGCAGGGGAGGCTTCACTAATGGTGCCAGAATTCCAGCAGACTTATGTTGCTGATGCCTGTCTTCACATAGCCTCTTTTCTCAGAGGCATATTTTTTCCAAAGGAAAAAATCCCTGCTGTCTTGCTTTATTCATGGGTGCAGCCCTGGGCAAGACTTCACTTCTCTGAGCTTTGGGTTCTCCTCTCTTAATGGGGTCCACAGGAACCTTAACGATGAGGTCCTGTGAGATCAGGGGACAGCTAGCACCAGGCAGTCCTGAGTACATACCCTTTCCTTCTTTCCTTCCCAGGAGCAATTCAAGGTGGACCGGGAGGGAGGCCTGAACACTGTGACGTACCGTGTGGATTCCCGCATATCCCTGTCTGTGGGTGGGGCCCCCTGCACTGTTCTCAACATCATGTTGGACTGTGACAAGGTTGCAACCCCCTGGTGTACCTTTGGTTGAGTTTCATAGACAGTAAGGAAGCCCATGTCTACAGGCCACACCTGCTGCTCAGCCTCAGGATGAAAGCTCAGGCCTGGGGCCCAGCTCTGATAGGATGTGGAGTGCCCTGAAGAAATAGCAAGCTCTGTATTTGCACCAGCCTAGGCCCCAGAGGCAGGCTTGAGCTGGGACAGGACATGTATGGCGCTTGGGATGCTGCTGGCAGTAAACAGTGATCACAAAAAGGCTGAAAAGTGGCTTCAACTAGAACTCTCCACCCTGCCTTCCTGCTTGCCCTTCTCTGCCTTTCTTTGTGTGCCAAGGCCTCAGGCAGTGGGAAGGGTTGAACTGGACAACATCTAATTAGCCGCACTTTTGGTCCTTCCCACTGGACTGCCTCATGCAGAGATATGGCTTAGAAGCCATGTGGCTGGTTAGGTGGCAGTTGCAATCAGGAGGCTTAGAACTTCAGAAACCAGAACACAAGCCCCACAGAAAGGAACAGCAGATACCAGCTCCAGCTGATTGTCACATGCAGGAATGTGGACCTCGTGTTACCAGATCTTCTGGTTTTTGAAAAGAAACTAGAATGCTGTATTCTTAAGTAAAATCTGATTTTTTAATGATACCAGCTAATTGAAACTTTCAAAAAGTATGGCAGGCCAAGCAATGTGTTGTGGATCTTGGTTTGTCACCTTTGGCTGTGGGGAGGAGGAATGGGCAAAAGATGACACCTCTTTTAGTTGTCAAGGAATTAGGGTAGGAGTAGGAATGACAGGTCCAGATGGAAGGAGAAGCCAAAGGCACAAAGTTCCATACCACCTTCCTGCCCAACCCTCTAGGTTTCCAAGCAGCTCCCTGGGTCTCCATCTTGGCAGTGTGACCACTGTCAGGGTCCCTTTGGTTGGGCTTTGACTGGGAAGGCTGCTTCATCCTGCCTCACTGAGATGAAGACAGGAGGGAGAGCAACTGAGGACCCACAGGACTAGACCTAGGGTAGACACAGCAAGTCAGCAATGTCTCAGGGCAAGGCCTGAGGGAGGGAGAAGGTGGCAAAAGGAGATAGGGAGAAGTAGGCAAATCCTTGGAGTGTTCTTGAAGCATGAGGGGAGATTTCCAGCAATCTCTAAGATCACTTCCAAGGAGAGGTGAAGGACAGGAACCGAGCAAGAACATGAGACTGGCGAGTAATCATAGAGGAAGCCTTTGGAAGGAAGCCTGGGACCAGTGAGAGAGTGAATGAGGGGCCCTGCAAGGTAGATTGCTCTTTCAAGGCCAAAGATTTTGGGCAGACACCAGAGGAGACTGTTGGGACCACTTGAGCTTGGTTTGTTTAACAGTAGGACACCTTGAAGTGCTGAAGAAGGAAGGGATTGCAGTCACAGAGCTGAAAAGGGTAGTATCAACAACTCTGGTCTAAAAAGATTCCTTCTCTGGGAATGATGGGGCTGTTACATGGAGTTATACGTTTTGTGTACTGTACAATCTGTGTGTAAGCTAAGAGATGTAAATGGATCATTAGTGTTCAGGTTCTGACATCTAAACCAGGGTTGTGGTAATCCAAAATTGATGTTGCCCAGTAATTGATCCTCAGCCATTGAAGTGAGGGCAAACAGGCTTCAACTATTTGGCAGTGGAAATGGAGATGAGGTGTTTCCTGCATATCAGTCTCCTCGCAAACCTGGCTGGTTCTCTTTGGACTTGGATGTGCCAGAGGCAATAACAGCTGCCTCTTGGAGCTCATGGGGATGGATGTGATATCAAATCACCCAGCTCTGCATTCACTTGGTGTGTAGGAAGACCTCAAAAAATGGGGGCTCCTCCTCCTCACCTGCACTGGGGGAATGGAATGAGCAGAAGGGCCAAGAAGATCTCTGCACCTTGTGGAATCAGTCAACAGCCTGGCTGGGACACATCCCCACCCCTGTGCCCCAATCCCCCACCATGGCTGCTGCCATCTCCTCCATCATTAAGGTGCCAATGGGCGCCCCAGACAGCCCAAATCTATGCAGACTTCCCCATTCCCCATCCAGGGCCTCCACACCCCCAGGAGTATGTGACAGGGCTGACCTGTGGTGGCCCAGGGAAGCAGATGGCTTTGTCTCAGGGACTTTTTGCCTACTTTGTGGAGGCAAACAAACTAACATCCCTGCCTTGCTGGCTGAGGTATGGATAAAATGCTGTAAGACAGTGGTGGTGAACGTATGGCATATGTGCCGCAGTGGGCTGTTTGTTATCATTGAAAGCTCTAAAAGGTTCGCCGTCACTGCACTAGGACATCTGCGCACCTGCCATGGTTCTTGATCAATGTGGGTGTTGTACTAATAGTAACAATCACTTGTTGGGCATTTACCACATACAAACTTTCCTATATTGCATTATTTCATGGAGGCCTCTACCTAAGAGCTAGGTCCCACTTATTACATGTTTTATAGATGATGAAGGTGAAGCATGAAGAGATAAGTAGCTTGTCTAGGTGCCAGAGCTGGGAAGTACTAGAGCTTGGAATGGGTACCCCTGGGATCTGTGCCTGCAGAGCAGATCATCTTCCTTAGCTGAAGAAGGTGAGTGGGGAGGACTGCCAGAGTTCAGCATCCCACATCTAGGAAGAAAGGCCACAGGGAGACGCAAAGTATCTGTCCTGGGAGTCCTGTGCCTCGAGGAAGATGAGGATTCAGCTGCTGGTCAGGTTCCCTGGGGCTGAGGAACACTGCAGGACAACACACTTGATCTTAGCCAAAAGGCCAAGAAGTGGGGACGCAGAATACAGCCCTGTGACTGACTGAGTAAGTTTATCTGTCAGAATGGGAAGGGTTTCCAGAGGGATCTGCACAGGTCTGGGCATGTTCGGTTCAGGTGTTCCTGGCACCTTATTACTGTGCAGGAACAGGAGATTTGGAGTGAGTCATGAGGATCTTTACATGCCACACCAAGTAACTTGTAATTTTTTTCTAGGAGTGCAGGGTTTTAGAGCAGGAGAGTTTGGGGGCAGGGCTAGATCCATTGTTATGAAAGATTCTAGCAGGCAGGACCCAGGGTGGACTGTAGGTGGGGTCTGAGGAGAGACATTCCAAATGAGAAATGATGGAGCAAGAATGAGGCAGTGAAGGGGTGAGGTCTGCACCCCTAGCATCTGTAGGTTCTGTTGGCTCCCTGCCCAGGATCACCTGTGCACCATTGGGTCTTTCCTACATACAGAGCCACTGCCCTGCAGACCTTTCCACAATGGACAAATAGATGGCTATAGAGAGCCTTTTTTTTTTTTTTGGTACTGGGGATCGAAATCGGGACCTTTCACTTTCGAGGCAGGCAGCAGAACCACTGATCTAAATCCCGGGCCTAGAGAGCCTTTTTGCCACCTGAGCCATGTGCTTTGAGAGCATTTAAAAAAAAAAAAACCAATTGTTTTTTGAGATTTTTTTTGTTTTTTAGGAAAAGCAATTTTTGATGCCAGCATTAACATGTACAAAGCTTGGAGGCCATCATTCCCATGCTTATAAAGAGAAAAAAGCTCAATGAACTGAAAGGGAATCGCTTATCTTGGACCCATGGGGGAAAGGAGGTTGCAGGGCAAACTGCCATCCCAAAATCTAGAGACAAATGCACTCACAGCCACCATTGGCTTCTTTAGACCAGAAGCAGCTGGAGCCACAAACTAGTAGGAAAAAAAATTTTTTTTTTTTTTGTACTGGGGATTGAACTTGAGACCTTACGCTTGTGAGGCAGGCAGCAGAACCACTGAGCTAAATCCCTGGCCCTACTAGTAGGGAAATTTAAATGGTGATTTTGACAAGTTGATGGAGGCTAAACGTGGCTTCATGGCATATAGTCAAGATAAATCTCCATTTGTCTCTAGCAAGGAAAAGTAGAAAGTAAACATTTAAAAATATGTTCTAGGCTAGATGCTGTAGCACATCCCTGTAATCCCAGCTACTTGGGAGGCTGAGGCAGGAGGATAGCTTGAATCTAGGAGTTTAGGGCCAGCCTGAGACTCCCTCTCAAAACAAAAAAACCTTATCAGAGCCATCTCACCCATAGTTAGAACAAGTTCTCAACAGCGGCTACATTTAACCTTCCTCAGGAGGATGGGAAGACATCCCATCCTCACAGGTATCTCTTTGAGTCATAATCCAGGACTCAGATGCACTAAAAAGGTGATTTAACTATAAAATTACAAAATACTTCCCTTTCCCTAAACCTTACCATCATATCAACAGGGCTCCACTATAACAGTAGCAGATTATAACAAAGAGCTTCAAGACAGACTGATTGAAGAAATTCTTAGGGAAACTCAAAGACAACAGAGTAGACAAAACAAAGGACACTAGAGGAATTTAAACATGGCGGGTAAAGTTAGAGGAAACAAACTCAGTCTGACTCCTAAATAAAACACCAAGTCTCCACTAAATCTTTACTTACCTCAGTTCCTTTACCTTCATGCTAAAAGGCAAGAAAAAAAAATAGTCTACAGAGACAAAGCAAGCATAGAACTAAGTTCAGATATGATACAGATTTTGGAATTATCAGCCAGGAAATTTTAAATAACTGTCTAATATATTAAGGGCTCTGATGGAAAAAGTAGACAGCACACAAGAACAGATGAGTAATATAAGCAGGTGAGAACTCAGAGTGAATGGAGATGCTAGAAGTAAAACCACTTTAATAGAGATGAAGAATGCCCTTGATGAGATCATAAATAGACTGGACACAGCTGAGGGAAAATTTGGCAATTCTAAAGATATGATGGAAACTTACCCAACTGAACTGCAAAAAGAAAAGAGAATTTTTTTAAAAAGCACAATAAGCCAAGTATGCTGGTGCATGCCTACAATCCTAGCAATTGGGAAGCTGAGGCAGGAGAATCCCACTGAGTTTGGGGGACAGGGCTCCTGAACTACATAGTGAGACCCTGTCTCAACAACAACAGCAACAACAGCAACAAACTGTAAAAAGGTATAACATACAAACTATTGGAACACCACAGATGAAGAAAGGGAGACCAGAGCAGGAGAAATATTTTAAATAATGATGGCTGATAATTTTCTAAAATTAATGGGAGATACTAAACTACAAGCCTAGGAAGCTTAGGAACACTAATTAGTATTAATACCAAATTAGTATTAATTAGTATTAATACCCCCAAAAAACTCCACTTACAAAAAAACACAAACAACCAAGAAAACCCCCAAACCCAAGACAAAAATCCAATACCTAGACATCTATTCAAATTATAGAAAATAAAGAGCAGCCGAGTGTGGTGGCGCAGGCCTGTGATTCCAGCACTTGGGAGGATGAGGCAAGAGGATCATTGAAAATTCAAGGGCAGGCTGGGCTACATAGTGAGTTCAAGGCTGGCCTGAACTGCATACTGAGACCTTGCTCAAAAAAAGCCAAGATAAATAAATAACAAAAAATATTGAAGAAACCACCAAAAAGCCCAGATTACCTACAGAAGAAACAGGAACCTGACTTCTTGGCAGGCACCATGCAAACAAGAAGAAAGGGGAGTGAAAAAGGTTTTTTTTTTACTGTGTTGGGGATGAAGCCAGAACCTCAGGCATGCCAGGCAAGCACTCCTCACTGAGCCGTACCCTTAGTCCTCAGAATATTTTAGGTGTTCAAAGAAAAAAACCTCATCAACTTAGAATTCTATATCCAGCCAAAGTATTTTCCAAAAGTATATGTAGTAAAGGTCACTCAATTTTATGCTTAAGATGATTTAAATGGTAAAGTTTAGTTATAAAAATGTTATTTTAAAAAAGAAATAAAAACTTTATCAAACAAAAAAATGAAATTTATTTCCAGCAGACACACCCTGCAAGATATGTGAAAAGAAGTTCTTTAGTAAAAAAGAAAATGACATAGGTCTGAAACTCAGATCTATATTAAGAAAGGAAATGTGTTGAAAAAGAATAAAGGTAATAGAAAATCTTTTATATCTCTTACTCTTTTTTTTTTGGTACCGGGGATTGAACTTGGGTCCTTGCGCTTGTGCAGCAGGTGGAAAAACCACTGAGCTAAATCCCCGGTCCCTATATTTCTTATTCTTAATTGATCTAATAGTAACTGTCTAAATTAATAAAAGCAACAGTGTTTTGGGGAACTATAGTATAAATAAGATGAACAAAAGAAATGTTATAAGAATGAGGAGAGCTGGTAGAAGGTAAGGCAGGAGGATCACCATGAGTTCAAGGCCAGCCTGAACTACATAGTGAGACCTTGTCTTAAAAAAAAAAAGAGGGAGGAACTCAGAACACTTATTTTAAGGTTCCTGCCTTATCCATGAATTGACAAAAGTGTAATTTGAAAGTGAACTTTCATTGTAAGATTCATTGCAGGTGAATTGTCAGTCAATATTCATTCTAGGTCTGTATTGCAAATTTTATGACAATGAAATTTTTTTTTTGAGACAGGGTCTTGCTGTATAGTTCAGACTGGCTTTGAATTCACTATGTAGCCCAGGCTGGCCTTGAACTCATGGTGATCTTCCTGCCTCAGCCTCCCAAGTGCTGGGACTAAAGCCTGTGCCACCACACCTGGTCATTAGGACAATGAATTAAAATGTGTTAAAAGAAGTATAATTAAAGGAATAAATATGACAAAAGGAAAGAACGGAAACAAAGTCTATAAATAGGGAGGTGTGGAGGGGTTGAAGGGAGGGCAGGGGAATGGGGAAAAAAATAAGAAACAAGATATATCATGTAAAGGTACAAATTTCCAATGATGAATGTCATCATACTGTATACTTAAAATGTACCAATAAACTTAATGAAAAAAAGAAAGTTTAATCGATGTGCTAAGAGCTGGGTATGGTGGTTCATGCCTGTAATACCAGCACTCAGGATGCTGAGGCAGGAGGATTGCTGTGAGTTCAAGGCCAGCCTGAACTATATAGAAAGACCCTGTCTCAAAAAAACAAAACAAAAAAATTCATGTGCTAAGAAAGGAAAGAAAATGGATTCAAAAGCTGAAGGCTTTGTTCAAATGGTGTAGTGCATTTGAAGGCTGGCAAGTTTAAGACCCAGGAAAAATTGATGTTTCCATTTAAGCCTGAAGCCAGAAAAGAAGGCTTTTTGTTCTATTCTGGCCTTTAATTGGCTGGATGAGGCCCATGCATGTTAGGAAGGGCAATCTGCCTCACAGTCTGTTGATTTAAATGCTAATTTCACCTAAAATGCCCTCACAGAAACACCCAGCATAGTGTTGACCAAATGTCTGGGCACTCAGTAGTCCAGTCAAGTTGATACATAAAACTAATCATCACGTCAGGCAAAAAACTGTTTGGGAAACCTGAGTTATTGGTTCTTTTACTGAGTTGAAGAATCTGGTAAGAGGTGAATCCCTCTGTTTATCACTTCCTTAGCTCTTACTCTTTTCATTGGTGATCTCTTTCCCATGAGCAGAACAGAAAAGAAGCTGCAAAAGTTCTTTGCAAAAGTTCTTTGCGTTTATTGACTCTGGCAGCCATGAGCCTGCACCTTGCTAAATTCCTACCATGGTAGGAGTGCTAAAACCCTTCATTGACAGAGGGGCCCGGCTGCTGCACTTTACAGTCCGTCACTGCTCTGCCAAGTCCACACCTCCCATCATCGACGCATGGTCACATCAGAGGAGATTTTGTTGGCATGGCAGGCTAGGATGCTGCCAACTCTCTGTGTCTGTCTCTATGTCACTTTCACTCACTCAGTGATACTTTCACAGCAATCCAACAATTCTAACACAGGGCACCACATGGTGAAAGAGAGGCATAAAGGAGGCAGAGCCAAACTGTTTTATAAAAGACTCACTCTGGAATGACCCATAATCCATGAATTGGTTAGTCCATTTATGAAGGCAAAGCCCTCACAATACAATCACTTCTCGCTCTTCTGCTTCTGTCCGCCATCGCGTGTGTGTGCTTGCCTCTGAGCCTAACCATGTCTTCTCACAAGACTTTCAGAATCAAGTGATTCCTGGCCAAGAAGCAAAGCAGAATCGTCCCATTCCTCAATGGATTCGGATGAAGACTGGTAATAAAATCAGGTACAACTCCAAGAGGAGACACTGGAGGAGGACCAAGCTGGGACTGTAAAGAATTGAACATGTGATGCAGCATATTTTTCTCCCGAGAGTCACAAAATGATACATTCTTTGTCACGGTCGAGATTACCCTATCAAGCTAATACAATTGGCTGGACAGTTGAATGTGCTTAATCAGGAATCTTGTTCTGTGATTGCACTGAGTCAACAATAAATGTTTTGAAACCTTTAAAAAAAATACAATCACTTCTCTCTTTTTTTTTTTTAGCAAAACATTTATTGGTGCTCGCTTAGGCAGCACATATACTAAAATTGGAATGATACAGAGAAGATTAGCATGGCCCCTGCTCAAGGATGACATGCAAATTTGTGGAGTGTTCCATAAAAAACCCCACATTTATTGGTACACTTTAGGCATACATAACGATAACGCCTATCACAGGGAATGTGCACCTGTACATGATAGCTCCTGCCTCCATTTTCCCCATTCCCCCCTCCCCATATACAAAAAGCTTTGTTTCAATTTTTTCCTTCCATTCTCACTTCTTTTTCTTGTACCTTCCTTCCTTTATCCCTTTTCCCTGTCTTGTTCCCCTTTCCATTTGAACATTTCTTCCCATTTCCCAATGTCTATTATTCATTTTAGTCTTTATTTCCACTTTCAGTTTCTCACACCAGAGAAACAATGTGGTATTTAAACATGTGTGTCTGATTCATTTCACTTACGGTCTCAAGGTGCACCCATTTAGCTAGAAATGTCTCAAACTTATCCTTCTTTATGGCAAAGTAGTACTCCATTGTATTAAAAAACCCCACATCTTCTTATCCATTCATTTGTAGATGGGCTTCTAGGCTGTTTCCAAGATTTAGCTATTCTAAACTGTGCCTCTATGAACAGGTGTGCATATATCGCTGTGGTATGATGCTTTTAATACTTTTTTTGGGTACCAGGGATCAAACTCATCAGGACCTTGCGCTTGTGAGGCAGGCTGCAGGATGCTTGTAATTCTTTTGGGAAGATATCAAGAAGAGGAATACCTGTACAAACACCTCTTAAAGGCCCCACCTCTTAATACTTCACAAAGGCATACATTTTAACATGAGTTTTTGTGGGACATTCAAAGCATAGCAGGGAAGAAGTGTTTGCCCTTAATGACCATCACTTGGTGTTCCTTCATTAGAGGGCCCCCAACTATCTATTCTAGAGCCCCCCCAGTGCACATACATACACGCATATCGCCTTACAGTATTTTATTGCCCCGTACAGCTATTACCATTAATTGAAATCTTTATTTTCTCTCCCAATACCCTCATCCTAGGAGAATATCAGCCAGTCAGCTCCAGGCGT